TTTTTTTTTTTTTTGTGGATGAGTTTTGGCCTTCCATACACTATAAGTAGGTAGCCACAAAAAAAATTGAAGCTGCAATATCCTTACTGTAACCTGCACAGCTCTTTAAAAAGAAGTAGGAGTTACGTTCTGACCTGCTAAAATGGGTGATGATAACTCCATTTTCAGTTGAGAACGTGTCAGATTGCAAACCCTGAGTTTTCCAATTTCTAACTGCTGCTGGGTTGGACAAAAATCCAGCAAAGCTAAATCCTGGAGAAAATTGGATCTTTGATTCAAGGATCTGAGCCAAACAGACACAAGAAAGGAAAGAGCAACAAAATAAATCAACATTAGAATGATTTGGTTTAAAATATGTCATGTCATGTCAAAGATAGCGTGTTTAAGGGACCTCTTTAATCCAGATATTGAGCAACTCATCTCTGCAGTTGGACAGGAAGGGCCCCATGTAGGTCAGGAACGAAGCAGCCAGCAAGCAGTCTCCGACAAGGTATCCCATGTTTTTCTCCAGACCCTACAGCACACCCACTAATCATGACATATTGCACATGTGCCTAAATGTTGGCTTATAACAAACTTAATTGGTAGGACTCAACTTTGTAATTTTTTCTCACTTTGAATTAAAAAATGTCTCCAAATCTCTCATACATCTAAAACCTTTTTTCTTGTTTTTGTTTTTACACCACTAGTGGCTCGTTTTTTCGACAGTAGACTGACAGGAAAGGGGGTATGATAGAGGGGGAGAGACATGCGGCAAAGGACCACAGGTCGGATTCAGACCGGGTCGGCCGAGTCAAGGATTCAGCCCTCCATACATTGGTTGCATGCACTAACCACTGCGCCACCTTCATGGCGTACATCTTACAACTTCAACTTTAGTTATCAACTGTTTTCATTCTAAAATGTTAGTTTTGCTTTTGTTAATTTTGTTTGGGTTTTCTTACCTATAATGATGATTACAAAAAAAAAAAATAAAAAAATCCTGCTGCTCTCCAGCTTTAAAGTAACCTGAAGTCTTTCGATAAAACCCGGTATTTTAATTGTCATTTCAATGTCTTTGACAGAAAAGACTGTTCTGTTTGAACAGCACCATACTACTACTGTCATGCTCTCCTGGGTGGCATTATAATCTTCTGGCGTTGGGCATTCTGTTTTTTTTTGTTTTTTTTATTCTAACATACATTTTTTGTAAAACCCTTGCCTAACAAAATGTAAAATTTGACTTGAACCTCTCTGTGAATTTTGTCTTACCATGAGTACCCCTCTCAGTCAAAAGTATTGATGATTGTCCAAAAGTGGAACGTACAATAACTGATTTTAAAATAAAAACTATTTTACTTAATATTTTAATTTGAGCATAATATCCACCTCATTTTGGGTAATTCTTGCCCATTTTGCATACCCAGATGGAAAAGCACATAACTTAAGAACTGTAAGCCCAAATTACGTGTGATACATTATTTGAAAGCTTCACCTTCTAGTTTCTGAATATATACATGAAAATTATGTGAGTAAAACACCCAAGCTGCATTAAGCCCAAGCTGCATCAGTTTAAACAAGACACAAAGTTGTTTTTTTTATTCTCGTAAATAATTGTTCTTTTTTGAACAGCAGTTATAAAGACATGCTTGCTTCTTGTGGCTGCTTTGTCATGGTACATTTTGACATGCTGCCATATCTCTGTTAATTGTGCTTTGGTGCTCGCTATGTCTATAAAATGAACTAGGTGGTTGAATTGTGGAGAATCTAAGCTTTCCAAAGATGTCTAGCATGTCTATGTTATCCAAGATCTATTTGATATAAAGCTTCTTCCTGATTTCTTCTTGAAAGAAAAAAAAAGTTTAAGCCGTACGTTATTTTTGATTAACAGGTTAATTGTGCTCTATGTGAAGCATAAGCAGTGCTTAGGTTGGAGATGCATGTTGCACACAAGAAAAGGAGACAGAAAAAATCTCTGTAACAGTGACTTGATTTCGCTAGTGTGGATGTCAGTGTGAAAGGCTTACAGCAACTCTCTCCTCCCAGCGGACCTTCTCTCCAGCCAGTCCCTTCACCAGTTTGTCTGCCCTGTCCAGTTTCTCTTCCATATCCTGAGACTTCTGTCTCAAATTGTCCTTCATGATCAGCTTCTTGGCAAGTTTCTCTTGCAACTCATTCAGCTCCTCTGCTAGCTGCTCAGCCCAGACCACAGACACTTATTGCAGAAATACTTTTAAATATGAGTAAGAGTAAAAAAAAAGAAAAAAACATTCATACCTCTTGCAGTTTTTGTTTGGCTTTGGCAAATGCAGTTTCTTTCTCTTTTATCTGGCACATTGCTGCTTTCAGTTGTGCTCGCTTTGGTTCAACTTCACGGTAAATATGTCCATAGTCCTGAAGGGACAGGGTTCACATGTAGATCTACAACAAGCACTTGCACTCTAAGTCTGCTCTTTAACTCAACTTTAAATGGATGTGTCATGTCACAGGTGTATTGATGAGTTAACAGCTTTTCAGTTAATAACCGCTATTGTGCATGCTGTACTTTGAACAATAACATTTCCTTACCACCATGGCTCTGACCCACATGCAGAGAGACTTGGCAGCTAGTGACACGTTCCCGATGACCTCTGGCTGGAAGTCTTTCAGTTGATAGTACCCATTGACTTTACTCAAAATACGATCTGATATAGCATCTTTGTCAAAGTTGATCAATGTCTTGATGAAGTCAGGTTTACCTGTCAAACAGTTTAACATAATCATCCTTGATTCCCAAAGTACATGTAAAAATGCAAATCAATATATTTGCATTGCTGCTATGAAAATGTGTGAAAAACATCAATTAACCCCAACCCTAATTGTGATAGTGTAATTGTAATCAAAACTACAAACAGTTATTTATAGTTAAAGAAAAATAATGTGTTTTAGCTCTTAAAACGAACAGCATGTTATGGTAAGAAGACAATTCAAAGTGCTGTGCAAGCTATAACAATAGAAAACAAACAAAGGTAAGTACATTGCATAGGGACAGTTAAAAAAAGTTGGAAAAAACCTAATCTGAGAATAAAAAAAAAAAAGGTTAAAAAAAAAAAGCAAAAAAAAACCCAAAAAAAGAAGTTTTTAAAAATTAAAAAAAAAAAAAGACTCAGAGTTACTGTGTTTTGCTGTCTTTTTGGAGTTTGCTCCAGATAAGAGTAGACTTAAGACAGAAGACCTGAAAAGTCTGACTGTTGATTCACTGACAAGAAGTCTGTTACGTAGTTTGGTACTAAATGTTTGAGTGATTTATGGCTAACAGTCATATTTAAAGTGTAACTCACCCTATGTACCGGTAAAAGCATAATTCTTGAACCAGACAAATTTTGAAAAAAGTCCACTAATGCCTTTTGGGCCAAGAGACCCTGAGGGATAAGACTAAAGTTGCTTCCCAACTGAAAGTAGCGGGTTAACGTGGGTTTTTCATACACAGGTTGATCAGCAAACATTGGCATTTGGCTCCTTTCCCATTTGGAGAAAAAAGTTGGGTCTGACTCCATCTGTGCAAGCTGCGTGGCCTCTATCCCCCCATCACTGTGTGTCTGGTGATGCTGTCACGCTGAGTTAGCATTGATGATGTCATCAGCGTGAGAGAAATCGCAAAAGTAAACAATGGAGAGCAAAATGGAAGGGAGCCAAGGCATAGTAAGTGTGCTATTATTAAGGTCTTTTGTCTGCCCGATGTCTCTCTTCCCAGTGCTGCACCATGTTTATCAAAAGTAGGCAGTGTTGCTATTTTAGCTTGTTCGATCAGACTCGACTGGTGCGATGTTGTGACGTACATACGATTTACACATGCGGTTTCAAACCCAAGTCCCTTGCAGAGTCATTTCACACGGATCGAGGCGGTCAGTGAACCGTTTCCACTGCCACTAAAAGCCGATTGTTTGCAGGCTTAAACTGTTTTTTTTGTTTTTGTTTTTTTATGGGTCAGTGGGAAAGGGTACCTGTTACTTCTCCAAAAAAAAACTGAGTAACTCAAAGTAACTGCCATGTTCGGAGGTGGTGAAGCTGGCGGAAGGATCCTCTACAGACCCAAGGAAGGTGAGACAGGATTCTGAGCAGAGGTCTCACCTTCCCTCTGTTTCCCCGTTGTAGATTTATTTTTTAAACATGTCATACCCCTACAGAGATCCTGTCAGCCTAAAACCATCAAAATCTAGAGCAACTCATTGAAGAAATCCCTATAATATTACATCCACACTTAATTTACTTTTGGGATTAATAAAGCATTCTTGCATTGAATTGAATAAAAAGAAAAGCCCCTTGGCGGTTGCTCACCAAGCTGTGTCTTGGCTTCCGCCCAGGTCGGCTCTTTGCCAAGAAGGGTCATGACAGCGCGCATCACGGTCTCCACCAGTGCTGGAGGACTGCCGTAAGACTTTATTTCTCTCATGTCCGCCTTATTGAGAGACTCCAGAGCCTGAGAGTAAGGGGTGAAATAAAAAACGGCAAATGTGATGAAAGCTCGAGGATTCCAGCAGTCAGAAAGACAAGACAAACATCTACCTTTAGGGCCTCTTCGAGAGCAGGCATGGATTTGTCCAGCTCCCTCTGTGCATTTTCAGCCATGGCTTTGCACTGCAACTCCTCTGCTTGAATGTTCTTGCTATTCTCAAGCACCCTCTGAACAAAACAAAATCTTTGATTTCACCCATTTTTAAGTACTCATCAACACATCTCCATGTCATTTACCCTCTGCTGATCATCAGCCTCCATCTTTTGCTTGGCAATAATGGATAAGTACTGGTCTGACTCTTTCTCCAAGTCCACCACCTGCTTCTTTGCGCCCTCCAGCTCCAAAGTCATGGCCGTCACCTTCTGCTGAGTGTCACTGATTTTAAAAAGGCCCTTTTGCAGCTTGCTGAATTGCTCCCCCAACTCACAACGCTTTTCCTCCAATAGCCTGGAGAAAGAAAAGAAAAACATTCATGTCCCTCACAATCTATGTAGTGTAGGCAGAGGTTTGTGGTTGCTTTTTTTCTTCATTTTTAACATTAGTGTAAATTTAGTGAAGACAACACAGAATACTGATGGTTGCAATGTCAAACATGGGTTTGATGTAACAAATCAAAGGCAGATCGGTTTTATATTATCTAACACAATGGAAACTTTATTTTATGAGTGATTAAATATTTGTCTTCAAAAACTGAAAAATATTCAGATTTTTCAGACTGAAGGAATTCTGATCTCTATAGAAAGTTTAGCTGATACTTTCTCCTAATAATTTAGATAATTTTGTTGTTGAGCTTGTTGAATCTTGTTGTTTACTGTGGACATATGAGTGAGAATATGAGAAGCTGCGTACTCCTTATATCCAGAAAGAAGCTCCAGGTAGTCAGTTTGTGATACGTAATTATATTTCTTTAGCTCCACCTTCATCCTCTGGGAGAGCTGTACCACAGATTGGTGAGTGGTCACAAAGATATTGGCGACCTTCCCGTGGATCTGCAACATGAAACGTCACACATACAGCCTGACAGCAAATACATATTTGAGAAAAAGAACTTTGTGTTTTTTTGCTTGTTTATTGTTTACCCCCTCCAGAGAGCCCAGATCCAGTCCATTCAAGGACTTCTCAGCCACCTCCAGCAGGGCATCTTTGGGCCATTCAGAAAACCAATCAATGGTGGTGCAGTTAACTATCGCTGGGTACTGGAGGATGCGATTTCTGTTGGAAGACAGAAGACTGCCACTCTGGCTCTCTGAGCAAGACCCTTAACCCTGGGGTGCCCCACAATGGCGGCCAACTGCTCCCCAAGGGGATGGGTTGAATACAAAGGTAAATTTCTCCAATGTGAGATCAATAAAGTTCAATTATTAAAAGTATGAAATGAACTGCTAACATAGGAGCTCATACATTATATAAACACAAGCTACATGATTATTACTAAGATTTTTTTGCAGTTTTTTGGGGCTTTGACACATGAAAATTAATAAATACTGGGTAAAGCAGAGGGTTTCTGTCATACTATACCTGAAGGATTTTCCAATTGGGCTCATGCAGAAAACTATATGCAGGTTGTTCCTGACTCGATTGATCAGGTAACTGAACAATGAGTCAGGGGTCTCCTGTACCTCTTCTTTCCTCGCAAACCCTGATAAGGCTTTACACACCTACAAAAAACAGTGATGGTCAGTGATGAAGATCAAGTATATATTAAGTTTAGCAGACTGAACTTAAGACTTCAGGCAGGTGAAGCAGGAAACACAAACCTCTGCTAACTCTTTTTGAGTGTAAAGGTTTGGAACTTCTCCAGAGCTCAAGATGTTATTGATGTCCTCTAAGAAGGATTCATCTACAATCTGTGTGTCGTTGAAAAGAAAGACTGTGGGCTTGTTATCCACACCAGCTAAACGATAGAGCTTCTTGATGTCTAAAAAACAAACAAACACATAACTTATGAGAAAGACAATATCTTCTTATTTATTTTAATATTTTCAGTTATGTAAATATCTGGGTGTCTTTATGAGGGAAGATTTACAGGGCAGCATTAGACATGGGTCCTGATAAGAGGTTCAGGACACTGAGGGAGGGATTTGACTAAGGCCCAATTATTGTGTTTCCTCACTGGAAAGAACAGTGTCTGATTTATTCACCTTCTCTGAACTCCTGCTTATTGAACTGTTTGGTCAGTTCCACCTGGAAAATCTGGTATCCACAGATAAAGGCCGCCATCTTGGAGAGACTTTGTCTACCGGAGCATCCAATACCAACCAGGAGCATGTTTCCCCTCGGCTGACCGATCACACGTACAATGCGGATTACTGTGGTGAAAAAATATTCACATATTCAAAAAATTAAAACCATGGCTTTCAGATTATAACCTGTTATAATGCAGCTTTAATTTGATGGGGTGGTAGTTGTGGGAAATACTCCGAAACAACATAGAGACAAATATTTATGAGGACAAACATGGTAAAAATAATAAAAAAAAAACACACTCCTCTGGGAACCTTGGACACAGTATAAAGCAATGTAAAAATCATATTTTCAAAAGTATTATTCAGTATTTGGTAAATAATTCCTTCTCATCATTCTCTAGTGGTTCATAATTGGTTTTGGATTATGTTTTCCTCCTTAAGCTAACTCTTAAGATTACTGTAGACAAATGTTGCCTCTAGCTGAATTTTAGTGTCATGTCAGCATTTTCTGAATCTAAATAACTTGCACTGCTTTAATCTTTAACGTTTTAAAGTTAAACTGAATGATAACCTAGTTAATCTATCATGAGCTGTTTGCAGATTTACTGTGTTTGATGGCATCCGTGAAGAGCACGAGGTTCACAGGAACAACTCCAGGTCTCTTGTTGTAATCCTTTAGCTGCGTTTCCATGAACTTTTTCAAAGTCTTCTGGTCAACAATGTCTTCATAAACATGAGAGTCGCTCATAAAATCTCCTAAATTAACACATAGAGAGAAAAATATTAAACACTGAAAACATACATATATGAAATTTATTGGACTTGCAATAAAGTCATTACTATTAACACAGGGGGTTAGAAAGAGTGATGCAGATACCGAATATTGGTGGCTCTTCGTCTGGACAAATGCTACGTAGAGTGAGATCAAAGTGGGAGGCCAGTATCTCCTTCAGGAGATTGATGAAGCTATTTGTGTCACTTTGGTTTACGAGTCGATCTGAGAACACCCTGGAAACATAGGATGAATGAAAATAGCATAACAAACCTGTTAAAAAGATTGCACTAATGAGTGTTAAATCCAAACATTATCACTTTGATCTTTTTACTTAAAAGAAATTACTTAGGAGATATCGTGGTAAGACTAAATTATGTTATATTAATAAATGAACACCTGCTGCAATCTTTAACCACTAATTTAAGCTGCATCAAAGAGTTGTCTGCATTTCCCATCATGAACATAATCTAGGTCATGTGACATACTAGATTTACTAGAAACTATTTCTACTTAATTCTGACAGTTCATGTCCTAATTGTTTTCTTTAACCATCCCATGTGAGGTCATTCAGTTATGCAAGTTACCTTTCTAATGGGGAAAGGTAGAATAGATTTATGGATACATCTGGAAAAACCTTGCAAAACAAACTTAGCACTCTTGAGTTTCCTGAAAAAGACCATCTAAGCATCAGAGCAGGCTTTGTTGGAAGAAAGTTGTGAAGGACAAGCAATCTCCACACATCTGGGAATGTGTGCCTGAGAGACTGAATGTAGTGTAAAGAGTTTTGGTGTCCTTGGATCTGATGAAGGGCTATACAAGTACAGGCTTGGGTGCTGTATTAAGGGGAAAATGCTGATTAAGATTCTCAGTCATCCAGGTCATAGTCATTCTGTAAAAGTTCACAAATATCCACTGGACTTGGTTTCCAAGATTTAAAGACGTTTCGCCACCTCTCCAGGAAGCTTTCTGAATTCAAAAAGGGGGAGTTGAGAAAGAAAATTGAGAAAGAATTAGGGGGAAAAGTTAGGAAGATTCTAAGGGCCTTTGATTGAGGTGGGGCCCAAAAGAAGAAGAAAAGATATGTCCAAATAGATATTTCAAATATTTTTCAAATTTGTGTTCTCCCTCATTTTTCAGCAGTAAACAGTGAAACCAAACATGAATAAATTGACCATCCAAGTTTTTTTATCCGGCAATTTAAAGTTAATGTATATTTATCTTTTACATGTTGTGATAATTTTTCTTTGTAGCAATTTTACAATAAAAATTACATTGAAAATGTAAATGAAACTTTTCAGTGTATCTTGATAGCAGTTTTAAGGCTTGCATACATTTTCTTGGGGGGGACAGATATCGATGTCTTTCATTGGGCCCCAAATTCCTGACGGGGCCCCTGAGTGAAGGTCAATAACCATATACCATTTTGAAGAAAACTTGAGTAAAAAGTTGGAAAAAGGTTTTAAATCTTTCTAAATAATTTTGTAGTACCATTTGGGAGGTCCTATTTTGATGATTTTACTAATACTTTGTCCATTGTAGGAAGTGTACCCAGAGACAACACACAATAAGAACCTAGGATGATAAGATTAAATTTAATAATTCTGAGGCTCATTAAAGGAGGGGAAGGGATTTTTGCATAATTAGAAAATAGGCCTGTAGCTTTTGAGACTGCTAAAATATTAAATTTCCTACAAAGAAGTATCAAAGAAAACATTCACTCATTTATATTAGGACATCATCTTTCCCTCTTTGTTTAACTTTAAAAAATCTTGTCAAAGTTGTACTTTAGCAAATTGTGCTCAAATTGTGCTGAAATAGGACCTTAGTTTACCTGAAGCACTCATGGATCCATAGCCTCGTGAAGTCCTTCTTTGTATCGTGGAAGTGAGGGTGAGCTCGTAGCAGACCCTGAAAAACCTGAAGATGAAATCAGTCATTAAAGAGGTATTTTCAAAGGGATAGCCTGAACAACCTGCATGATGTACAGTCAATCTTTTAGTTTTTTTTTTTTTCCAGATTTATGATCCGGCCTATTCCGTGTGTACCTTGGAAATGTCTCTGAGGTTGAAGAGGTAGTGAATCTTGGCTGGAGTGGGAAGAAAGGCTGCTTTGACAGCATCATAGAGTTTCAAGGTGGCCTGAGTCACAGTCTCGGCTAAAGACCATACCCTGTCAAAGTTATGAAGCTTCTGGTTCATTATGGTGCTAAATATGCATTTGATCCGGGAGTCCTGCAGGCAGAGATGTCAAAAATAAATATGTCAAAGACAACAGAACATTTTTTTCAAGGACACCAGTTCCCATCTCCATACATTGACTTTTCAAATTGAAGAAAAAGTGTTTGTAGTTTTGTCACAATGGGTAGCAGCTTCAGAGCACAATTTCCTCGTAATTTTCTTTGGAAAAAAAAAAAAAAGCACCAATAATGAAAAACAAGTCCTTATATCTGGAGTGTAATGCTGAGCTGGATTCAACTGGTTAGCTTGAAGCAGTATTTTGATTCCAACAGTATAGTGCAAGGGTAGTGCAGGAGGTGTCATTTAGTATTCAATTGAAGCTCCCCAAGGTGACATTAAGATACTGATTGTACAGGTAATTTCTTAAATTCCTGCTCAATAATCTGTTCATGTCTAATAGAATAAAACATGGTCTCTTCAATATTTAATAGCTATCAGCATGGGGCTTTTTGATCAAACTAAAGAAGGTCTCTCTCTGCATGACCGGTGTTAGAGCCTGGTCCGCATTGCCGACAGTAAGTCAGACTCGTTTCCGGTGAAAGTTGAACTCCGCCAAGGTTGACCTTTGTCACTGATTCTGTTCATAACTTTTATGGACAGAATTTCTAGGCGCAGCCAAGGTGTTGAGGGGATCTGTTTTGTGGGCCTTAGGATTGCATATCTGTTATTCACAGATGATGTGGTTTTATTGGCTTCATCAGGGCGTGATCTACAGCTCCCAATGGAGCGGTTAGTAGCCGAGTGTGAAGCGGCCGGGATGAGAGTCAGTGCCTCCAAATCCGAGACCATGGTCTTCGAGCCGGAAAAGGGTAGAGTGCCTCCTCTGGGTTTGGGAGGATGTACTGCCACTAGTGGAGGAGTTTAAGTATCTTGGGGTCTTGTTCACGAATGAGGGAAAATGGAGCGGGAGATCAATAGGCGGATTGGTGCGGTGTCTGCTGTGATGCGTGCACTGTACCGTTCTGTTGTGGTGTGGAGAGAGCTTAGCCAAACAGCAAAGCTCTCGATTTACCAGTCGTTCTACGTTCCTACCCTCACATATGTTCATGAGCTTTGAGTCATGACCAAAAGAACAAGATCCCGGATACAAGCGGCTGAAATTAGTTTTCTACGTAGTGTGTCTGGGCTCTCCCTTAGAGATAAGGTTAGGAGCTCAGTCATCCGGGGAGGACTCAGAGTAAAGCCGCTCCACATCGAGAAGAGCCAGTTGAGGTGGCTCGGACATCTGATTAGGATGCTTACTGGACGTCTCCCTGGTGAGGTGTTCCAGGCAGGTCCCACCGGAGGAGGCCCAGAGGGAGACCCAAGACGCGCTGGGGGGACTATGTTTCTCGGCTGGCCTGGGAGCACCTTGGGTGTCCTCCGGAGGAGCTGACTGGGAGAGGGACGTCTGGGCCTCCCTGCTGAAGCTGCTACCCCCGCGACCCGCCCCCAGATAAGCGCAAGAAGACGGATGGATGGATGGATGGATAAAGAAAAATTATGATAAACCTCATAACTCTTAGCTGGAATATTGCTAAAGTTTATACTGTTGAGTATTAAAATTTGAAGAGAAAAAAAAGACAGGACTTACAGATGGAAAGGTCATATTGATGACATGGAAACTACTCTGAAATCGAGCAGAGATTTGAGTTCTTCCTACACCAGGAGGTCCCATGGTTGCCAGCAAGAATGTGTCCTGACAAAGATAAGCTAGTGTTTTACTGTCAGACATTAACACCGTCAACTGAATACTACAACAGTGTAATACCTTAAGCTTTAATATATGTATCTTACAACAGATATCTGTCTCCTCTATCATTACAACAATTCTCACCTTGATATAACGCCGTGTCTGCTTCTGGTGGTCGTACCAGAAACCATAGTCAATCCAAAACCGCAGCAGCTCCAGTGGCGGCTGAGAGCCAAACTGGTCGTGGGCCGGCATGTTCAGATCATCCAGAAAACACAGCATCTTCCTCCCAGCTCCTGGGAAAAACACGCCTCTGGTTCTCTGCTTTACTCGTCTTTCTATGATTTTCTGGATCTTGTTAGAAGTCATCTGGACACAAAAAAAAAAAACGTAAGATTACAAGTTTGGTTGATAGTTTCCTCATAAGTGGATCGTAAGTGAAACTTCTTCAAACTTGGAAACAAAGTCCAGTGGATTGTTTTTAAACTTTTTTGGAATGGCTCGTAAGTGGAGAACTAGAATCAATAAATCACACAAAAACGCTGATTTCTAGGCAGAAAAAAAAAATAAATAAATAAAGAGAGATGCAGGCAAGATAGGAGAATACATAAAAAAGTACATCCATTTATCTTCCACCCCTAATTTGTCAGGATGAAAGACAGGAGACATACTGGAGAGGCCTCCAGTCCATTACACGACAAGACAAAACATGGACATACAACCATGCAGATACACACACCCACAGTATGTCCGGTCATCCTTACAGGAACTTTGCAGTGACATCTTTCATTTTTATGACCTAAACCTTTAGAAACAAACACTTAATCCAAACTCAATTCAAACCTTAATCCGAAACCTAACCACCAAGGAATCTCAAATGCTACGTAGAATAAAATATACACAAAAAAGAATTTTATTAGTGATGGTTGCTTAAAAGAAAGTTTGTAAAATGGGTGAATACCAGTTGACTTCCAAGCACATTAATTATGGGTAAATCAATAAAAGGTGAAATCCAAGTATTTGTAGCATAAATATTGAACAGGTACATGAATACAAACATGTGGGTGTAACGCTTAAGTGCAAAATATCCTGAAAGTCTTGCATTAGACATGCAGCAGAGTACCGTAACATTTCCAAAAGCAAGGCATGTGGTAAACCATGAATTAGAATATTCATGTTCAATGTTTTTTTTTCATTAAAATCATACAATCGTAAACAAAAGTTTAAAATCCAACAAAATAACAGAGAGTAAAAAATGATGCTTCAAGGTGAGAGCTAAATGTGAAGAGCTAAACATAAAGCAATAAGGGTTAGATGGTAATATAGCAGAAAAACTGTAAGAGGCTTAAAAAGCCTTTATACTTGGGTGGAAGTGATCCTAAGCATACAGCTAAAGCTACAATGGAATAGTTTAGATCCAAGGATATCCATGTTAGAATGGACCAGTCAAAGTCAAGACATAAATCCAACTGAGAATCTGTGGTAAAAGGAGACAACTGGTATTTAAGATGTTCTTCCCTTAGCCTTAGGCATAGAACCAAAATATCTGCAGCTGTAAATGCAAGAGTGTAATGATGTGTGATGAGTTTAAATATACCTCATCAGTTTAGGCTTTCCCGCAGCTCTCCATTAGACCTGTCTAAAAATGACCAACGGAGGGAGCTTGATAGTATGTATTTTTACCGAAAATGTGGTGATGCTAAAATGGAGCACACCGATATCGATCAGGCATGATGAACGCAGATACACTTATGCACAAAAACATGTAGAGGTATAGCAAATATCCGTTATCATTCAGTTTTTAAGACTCTCAATCTGCAGGTGGATCACTGCACACACTTCAAATGGGAAGGTGTTAATTAGTCTTTCTTCAGTGGATCCTCTGATGGAAATATAGCATTTCTTATCAAGTATAACCCAAATTGTAATATGCATAACAATTTTTCAAAAAAGGTTTGTTTAATATAATTTTTTTAAATACCAACCTGAGCAGACATGTTGATAGTGACAGCAGTGCATTTTTTGTCTAACCCCTGTAGGACGTTCTGAGCAACAGAGGTTTTCCCAGTGCCCACAGGTCCAGTGAGTAACACTGGGTGCTGATTTAACACCAGAGCCTTAACCAGCAAGTTGTAGCGAACTGTGTCCACCGTCGGAACCATAATCTCATAAAATGGAGCGCTGAAAGAAGTGAAAGATGTATGGAAACGCTTAATAAATGCTCAATTAAAAGCAAAGGAACTCATTTAAGGGAATAAGGAGAAAAATTACTTACGAAGGGTCATAGTGCCAATTTTTTGGAAGCTGATTTTCAAAGGACACCCAGGATTTGTTCTTTGGGTCCACATAGTAATCATAAACTGTGTCCTAAAAGAATTCATGTTGAAAGTTCATTAAATATTCAGTAAAATGTAAGTCCTCTTTTAAAACTAGAGTTAAATGTGTTGGGACATGATTGTCACTATCTGGTCTTTACTAAGCTCTAAAAGAGGCTTTCTATGAGTTTCAGAGGCTAGAATTTTGTTGTAGAAATGATTGGAATTCTTAACCATACTTCCAAATAACATCACTTTTCTGCTTGGATGATCAAGTTTCAGCCATGAGTCAGCTGTTAGACTTAGACAGATTTATTTTCTCATTTTGTATACACGAGTGTATACAAACAGAAATGCTGGACAAATTGCCTCAGATATGGCTTTATAACACTCATTCAAAGAGGAACACATAGGGTCAGGTATTTTCCACAATCACGCTTAACTGTTGGTTTAAAGTGTTTTTGCTGATAATGCTGTTAGTCTTCCTAAAGACAGTGGTGTGCATCATTACCAAATATAAGTACTTTGGTTTTACTGGTCCAAAGAAGAATATTCACAATATCTCTGTGATTAATAAAATGACAGTTTAAGATGTAGTCCTGTCTGATCTTTCAGAATTAGACATTATAATTAGTGTTGCGCCGATGCCATTTTTTTGGCCCCAGATACCGGTACCAGATACCTGGCTGTGCAGTATTGGCCGATACCATACCGACACCATCTGTTAGAAATTGATGTGTGTGTGTATATATGAAGAACTGCATACTATTTGGATGTAAAATAATTGCCATCATGGCTTTGTCAAGCTACTGCCTACCTTTGTGAAGCAGGAAAAAGACTAATACAAAGTGAATCCAGTAGGACTTTTTATTGCCTACCTGGAATGGGTAACAATAGTTGAAAAAACTTTTGGCTCTCAAAATTGTATCGGTGCCCTATTTGTCGGTACTCGCTGATACCGATACCACAGTTTTAGTGCTGGATTGGAGCCCTGTCCGATACTGGTATCGTTGCAACATTAATTATAATTAAAAAGATTTTATTCCGGGAAGAATTCTTGGAGGATGCACACAATCTGTATGTGTACACCCTGATGAAATCGTATAAAACCAAGAAGGAAACAAGTCAAATGTTTGGGAATTAAACTCTACTCTGCAGAGGACCTTGGCAGGGAAAGTGGAGTTTATAACCCGCAATTTGTAGTCCATCTTCTTCAGTCCATCTTCATCTACAGAGGCACAGATTGACCAGATGAGGCTAAAAGTGAACCACAGCTCCACCACCATTCCCAAGCTCTCGGTGTCTGAAGTATTCACCTAGAAAATAAAAGCATTGCATAACACTTCTCACTTTACAAAATCTAGAATAAGATTTGCAAAACTAAAGAAGAGAAGTACCCCGTTGCTGGGTGTAGCGAGGGAGTCATAGAGGCGGCAGAGAGACATGACCCCATTGAGTTCAGTAATAGGGATCAACTCCCTACAATTGGTCTTCTTGAAGTCCAAAATGGTCTCCAAATATTTGTCAATTGCTTCTTTCAAATGCTCTATTTCAACCTAAAGAAATAATAAAAAAAAAATGAGAAGACAGAACAGGGATTAATAACTGCACAGATTCTTAAAGTCTTGTAATAGATGTTAAGGAGAAATTAAATTTCTTTGAGTAAGTAATAAGGACTTTGGGTCGCTTTTCCAGCCAGGACTGTAAATATGGCTTCCATCCAAGATCATCATAGTCGTTGTAGACTATTCCACAACGGGACACTGTAGCTGGAGAGGCCGTCGCCAGGTTCTCCACTTCAAACAGAAGAGACACCTTGAACAAAAGAAATGCAAAAAAACGTGCATGTGATTTCCTTCATAGTAACATTTTGTACAATAATGGACAATATGGACTGTATGAACATAAAGTTACAAGGTAATGACAATAAAACCTAAAAGGCAAGAAATATATTTTATTAATAAAATTAAAAAATGCATAAAAAAACAATAATACAAGTAATGATTACTATGATTAGTAAAAAAATATATTGGAATGTAATTTAACTCGCTATGTATTTTCTGTGTGGGACTTCAGTTCATTTGTTTTCTAGAGCAGTATAATTTTGTCCCTATTATAGTTCAAATTCCCCATATTTGAACTATTACAAGTGTTCTCACCTCATCAGCCAATAAGATTCTCTCTCCGTTGATGAGAGTGAGAACCTTGTTGTCATCCATGACAGAGTTCAAGCTTTCAACCCACAGAGTGTCCACAGGCCCATCCAGCACAATCCACTTCTCATCTGGTGTATCCTCTGAAAATGAAAAATGCAGAGTAGCAGATAGAAAAAGTTAGGGTAAGTCAAAGAGACAGTGTGATTGGTAAAGAAAAAACTTTTAAAGATGTACATCAAGTTTAGGGAACATCATCGTAAAACTGCATTATGAGGCAAAGTGGGCTTAATGGGAGATGACCAAGTAGCACACCATTATTAAAAACAAATAAAAAGAGCCAGATTGATCACCTTGAGCCTCGGTACATTATGCTGTGCCGGAACCACATTGTAAACAAAACTATACCTCAGAGGCATTAAGAAGTTTAAAGGTGTGTCGCTACGCATTTAGAGAAAACAAATGCTGTTAACTTCACCAGCAACATCTGGAGCTCAGACCATCTGTGTACTCTAAACTTTACACAGCTAGAAAACTGATGTTTTTTTTTTCTTTCTCCATCCTCAGCTATTCACAGGATATTGCAGCACTAGGCCGGCTATTACAAAAAAAAAAAAAAAAAAACTGTAGTTACCTTTAAATGTTGTTTTGCACTTTAACATTTGTTGTTTTATTGGATTTTGTTTTTTTTTGGTTCGTTCCGGGACTTAAAATTTATAGATCAATATTTTATATATATCTTATGTATAAGTTTATAGTTGCTGTTAGCTGTCAGCTATAAATGGGCCTGCTTTCTCATTGACAATTGCTCTCAAAATAATATCCAAAATGCTAAAGGCTATCCGGAAACGGCCCAGTTCGAAGTTCTTTCCTACCCATGATTGCATCTTTACTGTTGACACCAGAAAAGGTAAAAGAAGAGGAGCTAGAAACTCTATTGCATATATTCAGATTAAGGTCACAAATATCATCGAATCTAAAGGGCTACATGTTTTCTCTAAGAAAGCTCCAAAGCCGTGATATACACCTGTTGGGTGCTGGAGCCTGTTTTCCCCAGTAGGTCAAGCCATTATGTTGCGGTCTGTTTAGAGGGCGGTTTGTGCGCATCTGTGTATAATCGGCTTAATCATCGGCAGTATAAGAGGAGCGGTTGGCCAGGCTTCCAGCGCTTAAAGGTTAATAACTAACGGTACTCTAAGCTCCCCTCCGAGCTAAATCCTCTGAGATTCTAAAATACCTGAACCTGTCTCTGTATGTTTTTTGGTGGCTGTGTTTCCGAGGAAAGCTTCCCCTGAGGAACCCACTTCCAGATCCTAACTCTAACGTAACCTTCGCTGAAGAAACTCCAGGAAATCCTCCCATATCTGGCAAAGCACTGCTCCTCTCTCTGCAGACAAGTCCTAAAGACCTGCCCGCCCTCCTACGACACACACACACCAGCTACCACAGAAAAATCCTCCAGCCTTCAAACCTCAGATCTGATTCTTATCCACCTGTCAGCTCTCCCGGCTCCAGTTCCCCAACCCCAGTTCTCCCTGGCAGAAGCAGCCCACCTATCCAGTAAGCTTGTCTCTGAATTAAGTTTCCTGTCTAAGTCAAACCTTCCACTAACCTCTCCCCTTCTCTGCATTCAGTACAAAGATGATCCTGCTCCAGTGGCATCCCCATGACATTATTCATACTTCTTTGATTCTTTTTATCGTTTAAAGGGGAAAAAACCTTTGATCTGATTTATATCTTTTCCTTGTGTGTTTTCTGCATGTAGGTCAAGCGTTTAGCTTCAAACATTACAATACCAAGTTATGGAGGTCTAATTGGGCCAGCTGTACAGAAATCTCATTTGATCATTTGACCTGCAATTATTAACTGTGACATGAACGTTTGCACATCTGGTTCTTCCATTAGTTATCATTTCTGTAGGAAAGTCTCTTCTATTAAAAGAATTCCACATATTGCATTGATCCAGTTCAGCTGGAGTTCACAGTTTAGTGGCGGTTGATTTATTATGCATTCTCATCAAAGTGTGTCGTGTGGCATATGACAGATGTACCTGCACATGCAGATCTCATGAGGGAGGACAGCACTCCGTCAATCCACCGGTTTGTAGATAGGTGATAATGTCCGTACAACTCTCCAAGACTCATTGACTTTGGATTTAGAGGAAACTCCTGTGGAGAATTGGGAAAAAAGCAACAAATGTTTAACTATCCTAACTTGCGAACTGCACACATGGACTTGTTTTGTGTCCAAGAAAAAGAGAACAAATATACAGCCGCAGGTGTAGTAATTTCATGCCATTTTCATACTATTCTTCTCATTCCATGATGAAAGCTTTTCTTTATTTTTTGCTGCAAATTGGATTTGCTGGGAAAATGTTCTATATAATTTAGCTTTCTGTATAATATAAGCCACTTTATATTTTAAAACATCCACACTATTATAAAGGCCTTTAAATGTGTTTCAATATATATATATATATAAAAAGATTAAGTTAACTGGGATTTTATTCTTTTTAGTGCAGAGATTTTTATCCAGACCACATCAGAACACTCTAAAGGAGAAAAGCCTTTAAGGAGGCAGCTGGGGAGTACATACTGTAGGGAGATGGTAAAGACTTTGTTTAATGATTCACTAAACTATAAAACATGTATTTCTGGGCAGTTTTTAGCACTCAAAGGTATACTGGAGGAGATTCGCCAATTTTTGAAAAGACCAGCCCTCTCGACTTAAATAAAAAATGCACCTGCACAACCCTGTACCTGTTCCTGTGAGGGAATGGCTAAAAACGTGTGCGAGAGCAGGCACAAGCTCATTTCTCCTCGTGCACATTCTTTTTACAAGTTTCTGTTTGCCTCGCTCATGCAATGCAATACTAGCGAGGCAAAACAGCAACAGCAATGAGAGACCTCTGAGGGAAGTAAAGCAAAAATCGTAGGAGTTGAAAAATCTGAAGTTTTGTGTCTTATCAATTTGAGACAACCAATGGGCGACTAGATGTGGTCGTGACGTAGGGTGAAGAAACGCAGTGGAAGTGAAGCCTCTCCCGGTTCTAGTGCTCTCTTTACTGAGGTTCTTGCTCAGATTTCCTCCTGCTCCTTTCTTAGCTCTGGAACACTGTCCCATCTTGCGTCTGCTGTGCAGGTTATCCATTCCCAAAGCAAATAGTTGCGTGTCCCCAACAACAGAAGCTCAGCATAAAGTAGCAGTGATCAAACTAAAGCTTCTGTTCTCCCCTATGGGAGTATCTCTGGAGTATCTGGTGGACTCAAATAAGGCATTGGCTTTGTTTTGCTTTCCAGAGTAAATAAAGCACTACGACTTGCTCCATATAATCAAGGTCCACCATGTTGACGTGAAACTGACAACCAGCAGATTCAAAGTTTTTGTTGAGCCTTTTACCCACTATGCAAATACCTATCACTTGCCAGGCGAAAGAACCTAAAAAGTGTTATTTTTTCCCGCTGATTTTGCATTTGGTTTGAACACATACTTAGTGTAACCTTTGTGAAATGGACGTCACATGTTTCTACTTGAGACTCTTCTCTTTTTTCCTTTAAACGGTCATGCTAGAGTACTAAAATGTGCCTTGCCTTCTTCTATGCACTGTTATAAGATGAAATCTGTGAGAGGATCTTATTCATAAACTGCTTAGGAAAGGCTGCTTTATATTAAATTTCCCAAGTAACAATTCTTCTACAAGAGAACTAGCCTATAATGTACCTCAAACAAAAATATGGACAAAAAAATGACTTTAAGATAAATGCCAAACAATCTTGTAATTATAGGCCTGAAATGCTCACTGAGCCTTACCTGAACCTGCTTAAAGTCAGGCTCTCCCTTCTGGTTAAGAGCATTCAGGGCCTGCTGCAGGATCCTCCAGGTAACAGTCTTTGCACTGCATGTCTTCCCAACAAGCATGGAGGAGTGTCGAGAGTTTTTGGTCTCATAAAGTTGTATAGCCTTGGTTACTGTAAAAGAGTTGACCTGGAAACCACTCTGCCGAAGCTCCTTCTCAATAGCATCCTTCAGCTGCAGTTAAAGAACATGAGACATCATTCAAGATTTGGAGGTGCTAGGTCTGTTTTAGAGATCCTGTTCTTAATCAGAATATAGATTGCGTGGCTGTCAGTACGCCAACAACATGCAAAAGCGCAAATGTATGTTTACCAA